AGTCATTGAGCTCACTGCTATTCAGTATATAAACAACTTCTTAGTTCTATTCTATTTCAATAGCTGGATATTATTCCATAACAAGTGCCCCACGACTTACCGAACTGGGCATGCAGTTATTTCACATTGCGATGACAAATGAGTGATTAATGAATGTAACATACCATTCTACACATATGCAGATACATCTACGAAAGAAGTCGCACAGGTAGAATTATGGGGCCAATTTTGTGATGTTTTCCTAACACAATGAGAGCATTTTCAAATATTCAATGATTAGAGTCTATACATCTGCAAATTAATCTCTTCTGTGCTCAGGTTTGACTTCACCCTCTCTTAGTTCAGCAGCCTCACTCCACACATGGATCCTGCCTGTATCGCTTCAGCATATATCCCTTGAGTGCCAGGTATTTATTGTTCTAGGCACTGAGGCCATCACAGTGAATACTGAATAACACACACAAATCTCCCTCCTCTCAGGGAACTCTCTAGTGGGAAGTTTTCTCTCTAGCTCTCTAGGAAAGGAAGATACAAAAATACAACATATATAAGTATATTAGAAAGTGCTAAGGAGAAAAACAGTAAAATAGGGAAGGGGGATAGGAGTGCTAAGACGGAAGAAAGACCTAAAGGCATATGGAGAGCTTTGGGAGGAGTGGTCACTGGACCAAACAGTGACGTGGGTGCTGGGTTAGGCCAGAATCTGAGTCAACAAGTACAGACATAGCAAGTGCACCTGGGGAACTGGTAAAGGATAAAAGGAACTAAAAGAGTAACAGCCTAGGGAGAGTGGAGCTGGAGCTGGGGCAGAGAATAGAAACCATTTTCTCAGAAGAGAAACAGAAGAACATAAAAGATTCTGCTTCCTTCTTATATAAAATATTCCATGTAATCCAGGGACCCGTGGACAAGAACTAGAAAGCCAAGTTATGATGCGTTTAAGTTATCTATTTCTCATTTGCATTTGCAGGAACTTTAATTGCTATGATTATAAACAGCCTTTTATAAAAATTATATTAGCGGTAAATTTTGATTATCGAGGATTATATCATAGTTAGAGACTTGCTTTCTAAAGATCATTCCATTGCAGGCACGTTATTTATTGCCAGGCACCCATCTGTTTTCATTTTAGTACTAACTTCTTTATCCTCACACTCATTTCTCCGAGAAGTTTCAGGGGGTGATGTAGGAGGTAGTAGTGGTTGGTTATTATCTCGATGGAAGTACAGTACATACTACAGAAGCTGTAATTTATTTCAATTCCTCTTTTGCAAAGACATTAATCAGCACAATTCTCTCAGTATCCCAAGCAATTATAAACTATCCTTTTTTTCTATATTGCTTCAAACCTCTATTTCTTGTAATTTTCTCACTACCTATCTCTTTCCCTTATGCAGTCTAACTCCTACGCTTACTCTTTCACCAAACCTGCTCTCATGAACACTTTCTTCTTTATTCAGATCCTTCTAGAACCCATCACTGCCTCTGACATTTATGAACACACTCTCATACTTGGATGGCACTCAAAGCTCATATTCCATGATCACACTCACTCACTGTCAAATGAGAGGAAAAGGCACCTGATGAAAATAAAGACCAGGTTGTGGGGGAAATATATATTTGAATGAATTTAGTTGTAGATGCTCAGAAGCAGAGCTAAGTTACAGTAAGGGCTCAGTTAGGAACAATTTTTATTTTTAAACCAAGAGCCTTACTTGGTTAAGTGTCTGACTTTGGCTCAATCATGATCTTGAAGAGCCTAAGTAACGTCATTTTGAGATTAAGGCCTCCATTAAGAGCAACCTCGAGCTGCACATAGTACCAGTTCCAGGAAAAGCCTCAGACTGCTCAAGGCTGAAGCCACCCTCAGACCACCCTCAGGTCAGCCAATCAAAAGAAGCTAAGAAATATAGGAGTAACATTCCTATGGTCTGAGTCAGGGGCTGGGGACTATAGATAGTTACTTTGTGCAAACAAGCAAATCACTCACCACTTGCCTGAACCCCATGTGGGCCCTTTGAACTCACCTCATAATTAGTCATTTTCAAAGGATTCTCAAAAGTCATGATTGGGTCCCACCAAAAGTAATGAACACCTCACAGATGCTGAATGGTCAAAGCTGTTACCATGGGTGCTGCACAATTGTAATTGGTACTTATGAGACGATGCTATACGTACAACGTGTGCACTGTAACACCCCCATCCCTTACCCCATAAAATCCCTGCTCACTATTGTTTGGGGCTTCACCCTGCTGCCACTACACCGGTAGATGGGTGAGCCCCGGCTCGAGCTTGTAATAAAGACCCTTTTGTACTTGCAAAGGTGTCGGCTCCTTGGTGGTCTCTGGCGATTCGTGAACCGGGCACAACAATCTCACAGTTCGTCAGTTTGAGCCCTGCGTCAGGCTCTCTGCCGTCAGTACAGAGTCTGCTTCGTATCCTCTATCCTCCTCTTTCTCTCTGCCCCTTCCTAGTTCTCTCTCTCTTAAAAATAAATGTTGTTTTTTTTTAAATGCTTTAAAACCAAGAGGCTTAGAAGTCATTTAGACCAGCATTCTCATTTTACAGATGAAATAATGAGGTCCAAAAAAGTTATCAGTCAGGATATCTTTGGCCGTAAGTTTTAGAAAACAGAGACTCAATTTGGCATAAATAAGAAGAAAGTATACTCTCCGACATAATACGAAGTCCAGATAAGACTCCCATTTCCTTCGAAGAACTACCCTTCCATCATGCCATACAATTTTGTCATAATCCTCAGCTAGCATGAACTGCTCGCAGTCCCCCACTGAGCAAAGGGTGGGCGCAAGGCCCAAGGGAGGTCACTCTCACCTTTTCCCTTGGAATCTGAATCTTAAACAGAATGACTCATGACAAAATAGTTAAAGTTCAGTCTCTCTGATGTCAAGGCCTTGAAGAGTCTCTTTCCAAGTTCTAGACCCCTGGAACTCCGTTTGCTTAAATTAGCCAAAATTGATAATATTGTTGGTATAACTGCTATGTTGAGGGAATAGGACTCTCCAGATTAAATCATCAAGTAACCTGATTTTTGTTCCTGTCTCTTTAAATTTGCTCATGAGCCTAGCTCCTCTCTGGCCCTTGCACAGGCAGCACAGAAGTAAAGGCTATGGCTCTAAAGCCAAATATTCTGGGCTCAAAATTCTAGTTCTACCTCCTGCTAACTATATTACTCAAGGTCACTTTGCCTCTATTTCCTTATGTGTAAAATGGGGGAATAACAACACCAACCTCACTAGGTTATTATAAAAGTTAAATGGCTTCCCAAATGTAAGATACTTGGAAGCGTACTTGGCACGTGGTAAGTCCTGGAAAACATTAATGCTGATGGCAGTGGTGGTCCCTTGACATTGTCGTCCTTCCTCACACCCCATATCAGGACCTGATCATTGTTGTTTCCATACCCAAGCTCACGTTAGCCCTTCTCTTTTTCTAAATTCTTCAAGACATAATTAAGTCAAACATCACCACTTCCACAAGGTGCACATGGATCTACAGAAACCCTGTGGACCTGATACTTTGTAGTATTTATAATCTGTAACACACACCTGAGTCTTGTATAATTTTTATTGCTTTTATACCCCAACAAGGAACATATTCCCTGAAGGCAAGAATGATATTTTATATTTTATGTTATTCATATTACTTAGTTCAGACAAGGCTCATAGTAAGTTCTTAATGAGCAACTTTTGAATAGGCCCTCTGAATAGCTAAAATTATTTCCAATCACAATTTCTTCCGGATTTGTATAGCTGCAAGTTCACAGGCCTGTGTGTTAGTATACGTGCTGCTGACGTGAGCACATGGCCTATATTTTTTAGTATACAAAGAAGGCAGGGTATAGAACTTTCTATTTCTTCCCACATTGGCCCATAAACACCAGGCATCCAATAAACGTTATTAATTATCTTTAAAAAAAAAAAAAGCTGAAAACTTCAGGGGCTGAAAATTAATTCCAGATATGATAGGAAATTCCAAATATATCTGTTACTGGTAAGATTTGAGACAATAATGCAAAAGATCCTCTTTTGTTTAAAAACAGAGAGATAAGGGAAACAGATACTCAGACACTTTTTCACCTTCTAATACTTTTTTTTTTCTCATAAGAATTATTTAAGGTCAAAGTAGAGAAGGTAAAACTATTATTATCTTTTTGTCATCATGTTTCTGGAGAAATGTTTTTTTGTTTGTTTGTTTTTGAAACTCTGCATAACATGAAGTATACCATCTTCTTTTTCTGACTTCTCTAAGCCTGTGAAAAATATACATAGAAATAAAAACCTGTCATTGATGTCCAAGACTGTATTGTTTACATGCAGAAAGATGGCGCTGTTTTATAGCTTTGTGGGCTATTCTTTATTTTCTTTTTAAATTTTTAAAAATATTCTATTATTTATATCTGAGAGAGAGAGACAGCAAGAGCAGGGGAGGGTCAGAGATAGGGGGAGACACAGAATCAGAAGCAGCCTCCAGGCTCTGAGCTAGCTGTCAGCACAGAGCCCAACACGGGGCCTGAACCCACGAACCATGAGATCATGACCTGAGCCGAAGTCGGACGCTTAACCGTCTGAGGCACCCAGGCGCCCCTGTGGGCTATTCTTTAGTCCTGTGAAAAAGTCCACTAGCAAAAAGAAACTGAGTATGGTTCCAAGTGAAACAGTCTGTGGAAAGGAGATGTATAAATTGATTCACTTAACCTATCCTCAGAACAAATTCTATTACATCCATCTATGACACCTCGGTAAGTGATACCTCAATAGTTTTTGGCTTAGTGTTGTTTAGTGGATATGGTTATTTCAAAGTTATAGGGGGGAAAATGCTTTTTTCTAAATGCTATCCACTATGAATTCTCCAACCAGACCAACTCTTCATTGTTTCCTTCCTACAGAAACAGTTGATGTCAGAGAAAAAGGAAAGGGAAGAGAGAGAAGGATGAGGGGGGATTAAAAAAAAAAAAAAAACCAAAAACCTGTTTATCTTACTTGGATGGTGCAAGACAGCCTGGTGCCACCATACTCTGATTCTTCTCTTCATTCTGGAGTGCTGTAAGCTCCACCATGTTCACCATCACATCGTTGGTGTGGCCTGGAAGCTGGGGAAGCACTGAAATCATCTTCTCTACCAGGTTGTCTCCATGATGTCCAGTTGCTCCTATTTAAGCAGACAACAAAATATAAACTCACAAAATGGAAAATAGAAACTCACAAAACTCAAAAAATATCTGGATACATGTTCTATAATGGCCCTCCATCAAGAATAATATATATATATATATATATTTTTTTTTTTTTGGTCACATAAATCACAAGCCTAGCATTTTGCCCTCTGTAACACTAATCAAGCTCACAATTACGTAGTTAACCAGTGCCTTGTGTTTTGGACTTAAGGCTCCATGAGGTCAGGCACTGTGGCTGCTCTGGCTACTACTATATTCCTAGCACCTAGAAGAGTAATATCAATAAATATTTAATATATAAATAAATAACCAGCATATATTCAGCCAAGAAAATAGTGTCACTGGATGATATTGTTGTAAGATTTTAGAGCCAAAACTTTATTTTACTGATGAAAACTTCACAAGACAGAAGGGCTTAAAGACCTGGCCAAAAAGAGCAGACCTCCCTTCTGCTAGAACCTCACCTTCATACTGGCAACTGTTTACCTGGTTCATCCTGTCCCCAGCATGTCTAGCAGGCAACTTGGCAGCTCTGATCTAAATATGTGTTAGATCATGGGAAAACTAAATGAATGAATGGTAACAGTTTGTAATGATAGAAGCATTTATAGACTGCTTTCTGTGTACTAGACATGTTCTAGGTACTTCACATGTATTAACTCTTTTCATAACAAATGACTGAGAACCTCAAATTGAAATTCAAGACCAATAACACAGTGTAATATTTTTTCCATGAAACCAAGTTTCTTTCCAAAAGCTATCATTGCTTGGGTGACCTCCTTCCAACAATGGGTAGGACTTGGCACATATTGTTTTGATCCCACCCAATCTAAATCAATCAACTTCTTGTTTCCTGATGTCTCTCTAGCTCTACCTGTTCTTTTTGCCACATCACAGTAATTGGACAGAACTAGGTAGAAAACAACAAATCAAGAATCCAAAGAATTCTTGTCACCACTATCATCATTTTCATTTCTAATATTTCATTTCTAATATCATCATTTCATTTCATAGCTAATATTTACTGAGAGCCTGTGATGAACCAGGTATTAGGTTTCATACTGTACACTTATTATCCACTTAGTTCTTATAACAACTCTAATAGATGAGTATTACTATGCTCATTTATAGAGTAGAAGACTTAGTTTAAGTAACTTACTCAGGAATATGTTAACTTATAAGATACAGAGCAAGAATTCAAACTAAAGAGGGAGAAATTACTAAAACCACACTATTAACAACAACAACACAAACAGGCCCGTAAAAATGACTTAAGACAGAGCCAGCATGAGTGCTTCTAAGGTGATTTCTAATGGGAAAGAGGAAAGAGTTCTTGTACCACCTGTGGAATATTCATTTATTAGGCTTAAAAGGAACCATATCTTATTTATGCTATCTAGGGTTTATGGTCCTCTTAGCACTCGGACTTACAAGCTGCTCACTTAATTCTTGCTGAGGGGCACCTGGGTGACTTAGTCGATTAAGCATCCAACTTTGGCTCAGGTCACGATCTCACAGTTTGTGGGTTCAAGCCCCACATTGGGCTTTGTGCTGACAGTTCAGAGACTGGAGCCTATTTCAGATTCAGTGTCTTCCTCTTTCTCTGCCTCTCCCCATCTCACACTCTCTCTCTAAAAAAAAATGAATGCTTAAAAAAATGTTTTTAACTAATAAATTCTTGCTGAATGAATGCCTAGTGACTACAAATGTCCTGAGATCCAAATGGGGGTCAGAGATCCCTAAGTGAATTATATCTTTAACCTGAGCCTGGAGTGGCGACACTAGGATCACCTCACAGTATCATGAATTTCTCTCTCCACCAGTTTCCTCATCACTCACTAAAAATTTTCGTAAATATCCATTCATCATTAAAATAACGTTTCTTTGAACTTGGTGCCCCAAATCTGAACCCTGCCCCCAAGCTATTCTTATTTTTCAACTTCTATTTGTTGACACGTGGCACGCACAAATGGAATATATATGCTACCATTTTCCCCTAACTTCTTATGCCTCTACAGTCTGGCTGTTTCTCCCTCCTCCACTATGTCAAACTCAGGGCTCTTTGCTAAGTTTTTGTACATTAAACCCTCTGCAAATTGTTAACGAATCCAGCCCTCTTGAAACTCTCCGAGTATGAGAAGTCAAAATACAACATACTTATTTTTCCTTAAGGTTTAAACGTGATAGTTATTTCTACAGAGCCAAAGTATCATTCATATGCTTAAAATATTATGTACTAACATCTTAAACATTCAAACGAAGGAAGAATGTCTGGGTGGCTCAGTGGGTTAAGCATCTGACTCTTTTTTTTTTTTTTTTAATATTTTTTTATTTATTTCTAGGAGAGAGAGAGACAGCGTGAGCAGGGGAGGG